CCCTAATACAGAAATTAAATGAATTTATTTCTACTCATATTTATGTAATTAAGTGTTTTAATATTTGACAGATTAATCAATCAAAAAAATAATCGACAGGTTAATCGATTATTAAAATAATAGTTAGTTGCAGCCCTAATTCACACTGAAGGAGCAGTAATCAAAGCAAAACGTTTTTACTTTGAAGAACCTAGAATATAAGACTGTGACGATGCAATAGTTATATAAGACTGTTAACTTCAATAGTTTCAGTTGTTTCACACTTTTTTGTTAAGTATATAATTCCACATGTGTTAATTCATAGTTCTGATGTCTTCAGTGTGAATCTACAATCTTCATAGTCATGAAAATAAAGAAAACTCTTTGAATGAGAAGGTGTGTCCAAACCTTTGGTGTGTTCTGTAGATGAGCATCAATGTTAGTCTCTAGAAGCTACAGTTTGCTCTGACCAAGCTTCACCTGAACAGAAGACGTTTGATTACTGTAGAGTTTCTCATTCAGCACATAGAAGTCACGTTTAACTGTAGTTCTCCTACTCTTTGTTTTTATCTGACTGGGATTATTCAGGTCATCCCTTTTAGTTTGGTGCCAGTCAGTGTGCTGACAAAACTGACCAATCATAAACATTTTGCCATAAACATGGTGCTTGGTTGTAAAGGGGTTAATGTGTGAATGCTTGCAGTGGACCTGTTTGTTGTGTGTCACCACATACAGACAGGAGGCTGCAGGGATGAAAGGGTTCCTCCTGCACAGATCAAAGAACTGTAGAAACATCGAACCAATTATATTTTCTGTGAAGAKGCAGTGTGAATGTTGAGCGCTGAATGAGTTTAATAACATTTTCTGAAGAAGCTCAAACTGAGTAGAAAAGAAACAGGAAACTACGTGAAAGATGAAAAAAGAAGCTGCAAGTAGAACAATGCTAGCTAATAGCTAAAGTTGTCAACACAGCTGAAAGAAGCAAAAAGCTAGCTACAATCAAACCAAAAGTTAAAAAAAAACTAAAAGCAGTATAAGAGAAAAATAAAGAGTAAGCTGAAACAGATTTCAAAGAATTTATTTCTCTGACGTATGTAAAAACGAATGTATGTAATGATGTATGTAATAAACCTTCTGTTCTTGCTTTTAATTGTAAGTTCCAGCACCATACCTCATATTACCTGTGCAGGTGAACATCTAATGATTCAGCAGTTAATGTTATTTTTTTATTACATAACGTTGTGAAGCCGTCTATTAATCTGACCTTCAGCAGTTTAATTCTTGTCACTATTGGACACCTTAAATCTCTCCTCCACACTCAGAGCCCACAGACTAAACTGCAGCATTATGAAGCTGACTGATGCAAATAAAGAACAAGTTAAAACCGGAGAAAGTGCATTTCCTGCAAAAATGCTAGTGTGAATGCCTGTTGATGAAAACTTAAGCTGAAAGCTGCTGAAATTGAGCTGAGAATGTTTAATAGCAAAACTGTTATAGTAAGTAAACCTTGAAAAGCTGAACGAAGCAAAAAATAAAAAAGCAACTGTAAGAAGCAGATCTATAGCTAAAATAGCATAAAATAACTAAACTTAGCATTAAATAAGCTAAAGGTAGCAGCCAGAATATTAAATAAAAGTGATAATTTGTAGTAAAATATTTAAAACAGCTGAAATTTTCAGTAGCTGCGTTCCCGTTGACCATGAAAATGCGCAAATTAGAATTTCTAAAATAAATTTGCTCAATGGAAACACGTCAATTTCGAAAAAAATTACGTTTTTCAACAAAATGTTTTTGCGCTAGGATGAGGTGGTTTTTCGGCCGTATCGAAATTGGTGGTTTTCGCAAAACTGCAATGGAAACACTTTTTTTCGCATCACGGGAGTCACGTGATCAACAAC